TGACGGACAGCCGCTACTAATCTGTCCAGTGCCGCTCGACACGTCTGGAAGCTGTCACCGATTAGAGCAATATTATCAGCATATCAGTCAAGAAGTCGTTCTCCTGGGAGCAGATCCACACCTTCTAAGTCGTGTCCTGTGAACGCGATTTCCATGACTTCGTCAACAGCGAAGTAAAAGTGGAAGGGTGACAGCGGGCAACTTCGTCTCACGCCGCTGGGGATATTGTAGGGTGATGACAACTTGCCGTAAGCCCTCAGTCTGCCCGAGCAACGCGCATATAATGCTCGGATAATATTCACATATTTCTCAGGTACACCTTTCCTGAGTAGACAGTCCCAAAGTGCATGTCTATCCACCGAATCGAATGCACCTTTGATATCGAGGAACACAACAACGGTGGGCCGCCAATATATGTGGCGGTGCTCTAACAACTGACGCAAGGTGAAGATGTGGTCAATGCAGCCACGACCTCGACGAAACCCGGCTTGCTCTTCACGAATCTGGCTTTCACGCGTGCCACTCAGTCTGTGAAGGATGACAGAGGCAAGGAATTGGAAGGCGATGGAGATCAGACTGATTCCTCTATGGCTGCCGCATTCCAATCGTGAACCTCCCTTGAAAATTGGGACTATGACGGAGCGGCTCCAATCGGTGGGGACAGTTTCCTGCTCCCACAGTTTGACTAGCAGTTCGTGTAAATTATTCACCGAATTTGAAGAGGGCTGGAGGAAGATCATCAGGTCCCGCGGCTTTATTTAACTTCAACAGTCCGATCTCACGTTCGACTTCTGAGCGAGAGGGTGGATCCAAAGGGACAGCGCACGGAGCGGGGCGATCAGTGGCCGGCGAGAAATCTAACAATTCCGGCCGATTAAATTGCCTTTCAAAGTGCTCAGCCTAACGCTCCAAGCGTTTTGACAAGTTGTGGATAGGCTGTCCACTCTCGTCACAAATTGTTTCACTAACACCAGGTCTCCTGCTGCCAGATTTCCAAATCAGAAGGAGTAACTTACGATGGTTACCAAGGGCAGCGGCCATTTCCATCTCTGATGCACCATGAGACCACCAAGATTCGCGGTCTCTCTTCAGGCTAGCACGGAGTTTTGCCCGGAGCTCTTTGCGAGTTTCACTGTGTTCGCTTCCAGCCGGAATATGCCGGTGAGCATCTATAAGTTCCAGAGACTGTGAAGAGACCCAATGTCCATGTTGGTGATTAGACATACCACATGAGGATTTTCCTGCTGCAAGTAAGGTCTAGTGACCAAGCATATGTAGCAAGTACCCGAGCCAACGCGACTTATTCAGTGTTGTCCGTTGTTCTAGGGAGCTAGCATGATTATCACCACCTAGTAATCGCTTACACACATCATCCTTGCGGACACGCTGGTGCCACCCGACACCAGCAATGCTTCGCAGACAACGATGCTCAGACTTGAAGGCACCTCAGATCTTCAGACCGAAGGGGCTGTCTCACTGCCATAGAGCAGAACGGCCCTCACTGTGGCTTTGTATACACGGCCTTTCAAACGGAGAAAAACTCCCTTCTGTCGCCAAATATGCCGCAGGTTCAAGAAGGTAGCTCTGAATTTTGCAATGCGTGAGCTGACGTCAGTTTCCATGCGCCCATCATTGCTAATACAGCTTCCATGATAAGCGAAATGATCAACCACCTCGAGTTCCTCGTTAGCAAGGGTCAAGGGGTCATAAAGTGGCTGGTGGTCCTGCAGCAACACTGCACTTTGAAGGTGCGAAGTGCATACCAAATAATGGGACCACTCTGGACAAGCTATTCAGGGTTGATTGTACCGCCCCAACATCGTCGAAAAGCAAGACGATATCGTCCGCATAATCTATATAAACTAACCTTTAACTAGGCAGCACTTCAACGCCTACATCATGAGATTCCGTAAGGGAACACTCCATGATAGAATCCACGACGAAATTGAACAAAAATGGGGAAATCGGATAACCCTGACGAAAGCCACCTGTGGTCGGAAAGCTATCCGATAGGCCACTGTAGACCCTGACGCGGCCTGTAGTGTTCGAGTATAGCGCACGAAGGAAGTTCACATATTTCGTGGGAACACCTTTCCGCGCAAGTATTTCGAACAGAATCGATCGATCGACTGAATCGAACGCACTCTTGAAATCGAGGAACACAGCTATTGTCAATCTGCGTTATGCGTGGCGTTGCTCTAGCACCTGCCGCAAAGTGAATACATAGTCTATACAGCCACGCTCTGGGCGGAAACCGGCCTGCTCTTCCCTAATCCGAGATTCCTGTTCCGCAGTGAGGCGACGGACGATAGTCTAGGCCAATTATTTTGTCATAACTGTTGTTAGGCTAATACCCTTGTGGTTAGAACAGTCTGTGCGACTGCTTTTGTATATTGCTACTATAATCGATTCTCTCCAATTAGCCGGGACACTCCCTTCCAGATACATTCAAATAGGAGGTCAGTGCCCTGCAGAGGACCTCACCTCCATCCTTAAATAGTGCAGGCGGGAGGGAATCCAGGCCAGCGGCACGAAAATGATTGAGGGCTGTGATCGCGTTTCGGACTTCGGCCTTCGACGGAGGCTCTAAACTAACTGTCCGTGGCTCGTTTTGCATCACCTGAGTAGAAAGAGGTCCGGGAGCAAGGGGCCAGCTGAACTGATCTTGAAAGTGTTCCGTCCGACGTGCCATACCGCGCTCCTTATTGTGTATCAGCGCACCCGCGCTATCTCTGATTGTGTCACTGACGCCTGGTTTTCTGGGACCAGTGGTTCTGATTAGCTGGAAGAGCTTGCGGTGATTGCCTACAGCTCCTTCCTCCTCCATTTCTTGAGCCCTACTGGTCCACCAGGCTTCTTTGTCAGCGCGTAGGCTCTGCTTTAGTTCACGCCTAATAGCCCGTCTAGTCACATTGTGTTCAGAGCCAGACGGGAGGTTTCTTCTAAATTCCAACAGATTCACCGACCTCTCGGCTATCCAGTGACTGGTGCAGTGACGATGGATAGTGCCACAAGCAGATGCTCCTGCGTCGTGCATGGCGGCCGAGATCGGATTCCACTGAAGCTCAGTGTCATTAGGACAAGACAGGGGAAGTTCAGTATACACTGCTTCTTAATAGACTTGCCTGACCGAGGACTGAGACAACTTCTCCGTTGCCAGTCGTAGGGGCATTTGGTGCGCTTCCCGGTAAAGTTCATGGAGAAATGACAGCGTACCAAAGCATGATCAGACTCGATGCAGGTACTCCAGTACGAGCGGCAATCCAGGATGGAACCACGCCATATGTAACTTATGGCTATGTGGTCAACTTGGGTCCATCGCTGGCCATCTACAAGATGACGCCAAGTGGCACTTCGGCGCCCACTGTGTATAAAAGCAGTGCTAGTATGAAACAACTGGTGCTCCGCACACAGTTGCAGCAGACGCTCACCACTGTCAGTCCGTTCGGAGTTAAGTCCACAATTACCACCCAGCTGAGCTTCTGAAGAGCTCAGACGCCCTATTTGTGCGTTTATATCCCCTACAAGTACTATAATATCTGAACTAGTAGCACTGCGTAGTAGCGCATTCAGTTCGTCATAGAATGTGTCCTTGACAGCATTAGAACTGCAGTCAGTGGGAGCATAAGCGGAAATCACGAACAGACATCGTTTTTTACTACTTCGTGAATCAATCTTAGCTGATGTCGTCAAATGGGCTGCACATAAACGGCTTTTACCGGAATCCAATCAACTGACGATGGCTCAGCCTTGGAGCTTAGAATAATACCTACACCAGCTTGACCCGTGATTGCTGCATTGGCGTCTCCGGATGCGTGCAACCAGTAACGAGAGGATAATCCGGGTGCAGTTAATTCAATAACCCCGTTAGGGTCATTGATCCTAGTTTCGGACACACAACACACATCAATACCCAGTGTGTCCAAGGTGCGTGCGTGTGCAGCCTGTTGGCCTGTTTGTCTTAGAATGCGAACGTTGAATGTCGCCATGGAAACGGGATAGCGTGGCATTATAAGGGACTTTTGCCGATAGGCGTCCGATAGGTGCGCGATCACCACCAGTCGCGCGCGGACTGAGTATACCGCGAGGACGCCCAGCTCTAAGCGGATTCGAACCGGGAACCCTATGGTTGCAAACCACGTGTGCAAACCGCTAGCCACCGACCGACGGGGACGGGTGACAAGCTGGTATGTGTTTGAGACCACTAGATAGGTCATGTTTGTTATTGGAGATCTCAACTCGCTCGACACACTCGCCTTATCAATTCCCCTTTGGAATGCGGTCTTTATCGTCTGGCTGCTAACTTTCTACCCCGATTAGCTTTACCCATCTTTTTGATCCCTTTCTTTGTACCCTACCGGCGTTTTACCTTGGCTTTTCTTGACGTTGTTAATTACTCTTATTAACGTGACGATGCGAGTCATGGTACTCGGCCCCATCACATTTTGACACCCGGATCATATCTGTTCAGTTGAAGTTAATTGCAGCACAATCGCACATTCAGTAGTGTATTTCTATAATGCTCACTAGGTTTATTCTCCTCGCTTTGATTTAACGGTTAAGAAACCTGTTCACTGCCAGCTCTTCTGCCTTTTAGAATTCAGGCCGCTATTTTTCATAGCTTCGCGGATTGGCTATGATTGCGGCAACCCTTTATCGACTTGGTGGCGTTATCTTTTGCTTATTTGTCATCCACTCAATGCACAAACTCGTCTTCGGTCATAGCGATTATTCCTTTGAGACTTTTAGTCATCTGTCAACTTTTTTAACGTTTTTGGTGTTGGTGAGTTTGTTTTTATCCTTTAGATACCACCCAGCTGTTGCAAACGCTTTATTTGCTTTTGGCAACACCTATCCACTTGGCGAAGTTACCTACTTTGCACGGTACTCTTTTGTGCGTCACTCTCACTGCCTGCTTGGTAAGTCTTCCGTTCTGCAAGCCATTACGCCAGGTTGTTTTCCTGTTATTCTGGGGCATCTTTTGGTATGATCCATCTCTTATGATCCCTGAAGCGATTGTTGTTCCTACGTGGTTTAATCACGCCTCTGTAAGTGCTCCCAACTTTCTTCGTTGTTATTTTGAAGCATTCAGCCGGCATATGTTTGACCGCTTTTGATGGCCTACTATGGAAGCCAGCATCTGCACCACTGGGCCCGTCAGCGACCACGCTGATAGCCTTGGCACTTGGATACAATGTGTAGTGAGTTTTGTGGCTTCATTCCACCTCTGCTGTATTTAGTTTTTGAGATTTTTTGATTGTTGTTCCATCCATCATGATGAAACTGGACGTTAACGTGATGGTTTGCGTACCTACGCGACCCCCTGAGCTATGTTGAGTAGCACTTTCCAAGTGCCTTCAGAGTCACTCACCCTAAAGCTGGTCAGTGGTTAAGAACCAGACTAGGTGCCTCACAATCCTCTTTGGAGGTTAGGGGGAAGTCGATGTCTCTTCCCTTAAGACCTAGCCATGGAAGACAACAGCTTTATGGGCTATAAGCATGGATTTCGGTGAAGTGTGAGACGGCTGCGATCGCCGGCCATCGAACAACTAGGATTTCATTGTTGCTTCCATCAGGTGCGACCAGCGACTCGTTTGTGGCGGAGGGCATAGGATCATGTGTAATTGACGAACGGGACGTGGGTGGTCTGCTAGTGGAAGTTGAGCACTGGAATAGAGCCAATAGACAACAATAGCGAAAATGTTATTATAATCCGTGGTTCGCCACCGGGCGTGATGCTACCCAATTGCCCAGGTTGAACTGCAGGATTGTCTTAAAGGGTCCTACCTCGAGTATGTGGTCACTAATCCAACTTACGGAGCAGAAGGGCTTGATAAGTGTCGGAACACATTGGGGTCCCATGACCGAAGAAATAATTCATACGCCCCTAGGTCCGTAAGGGTCATCATCATCATCATCATCATTACACGTTAGCTGGAGGTGGAAAACACCTCAGCTATTGTGCCGCAATACAAAAGGCAAGAAAAGAAAAAACAAACAAACAGTGGCACGCCCGCTGAGTCCCCAGTAACGGATGGACATCGTTCCGGAGAGTTAACAGCTGGCTGCCGTAAAAGAAAGTCATATTATGCCTAACGATTGAGATCGTGATTGGAGGGGGATGCTAAACAGGAGGGGGATGGACAAAGGAACTCACAACACAAACGCCATTGGGGCCGGCTCCTAGCCATATCAGCAAGTGTGTCCAGCCAAACGTGTTCACCGTCCTTAGGACCCCAGCCAGGCAGTCGGGATGCACCAACCGACGCCAACTTCGAAGTGAGGGTTTTCATTTCTCGCGACCAAGTCATCACTTGGCCTCCCCTCCTCCTCTTCCAACCGCACCCACAACGCGCAAACAATGCACGTCGTGGGAGTCGGTGTGCTGGCATGCGCAAGACGTGGCCCAGCCATCGGAGCCTGGTGCGTGATATAATCGTGCTGAGCGGTTCACTCGCTCTTCCTGCACCAAATACGCGACGTCGAACACGCTCATTGCTCACGCGGTGTTCCCACCAGACATGAGCTAAGCTGCGAAGGCAGCGATGATCGAACGTGACGAGTCTCTTCATGTCTGTCGACCTGATGGGCCAGGTTTCACAGCCATATAGGAGAGTTGAACGGACGGCTGCGTTGTAAACTCTGCCCTTGAGGGCGAGAGTAATGTCGCGTCTGCGCCACAGGTGGCGCAGCTTGGCAAAAGCACCTCGAGCTTTTGCTATACGGTTCGTAACCTCATCTTCAATCCCACGGGTGCTAATATAGCTGCCCAGGTACTTGAATTCCTGAACGACTTCTAGCAGATCACCACCAAGCGTTAGCGCAGGATTGGGTCCCTGCCAATCTTGGAGAACTACTTTGCATTTTGATGGAGCAAAGCATAGCCCAAAACGACTGACAGCCAGTGCTAATCGGTTCAGTGCTGTTTGGCATGTTTGGGAGCCGTCACAGATTAGGGCAATATCGTCTGCATACTCCAAGTCAAGAAGTCGCTCACCAGGGAGTAGCTCCACACCTTCTAGGTCGTGTCCAGCGAACGCTGTTTCCATGACTTCATCAATAGCGAAGTTGAAGAGGTAAGGTGACAGCGGGCATCCTTGTCTCACACCGCTGGTGATACTGAAGGGTGGCGAGAGTTTGCCATAAACCCTCACCCTGCCCGAACTATGTGCGTACAGCGCTTTGATAATGTTTACATATTTATCAGGCACACCTTTCCTCAACAGACAGTCCCAAAGGGCACATCGATCGACTGAGTCGAAGGCACCTTTTATGTCAAGAAACACGACAACGGTGGGTCGCCAATAAACATGGCGGTGCTCCAACACTTGACGCAATGTGAAGATGTGGTCGATGCAGCCCCGACCTCGACGAAATCCGGCTTGCTCTTCACGAATTTGGCTTTCACGAGTGCCAGTCAGTCTGTGGAGAATGAGAGAGGCAAGCAATTTAGAGGCAATCGAAATCAGACTGATCCCTCTATGATTACCACATACCAAACGGGAGCCTCCCTTGAAAATTGGGACAATGACGGAGCGGTTCCAGTCTGTCGGGACTGTCTCCTGCTCCCAAAGTTTTACTAGCAACTCGTGTAGATCACCTATTAGAGCAGGTCCACCGAACTTGAAGAGGGCTGGAGGAATAGTATCTGCCCCTGCGGCCTTATGCAATTTCAACAGCCTGATCTCACGTTCGACTTCAGCGCGTGAGGGCGGATCCAGGGAGACGGCCCAAGGAGAATGGCGTTCAATGCCCGAAGAAAGTGATAACTCAGGTTGGTTAAATTGCATAGCAAAGTGTTCAGCCCAACGCTCCAAGCGTTTTGACAGGCTGTGGATCATCTGCCCACTCTCGTCGCGTATGGTCTCGCTAACACCAGGTCTCCTGCTGCCTGTTGCCCGTATCAGACGGTATAACTTACGATGATTACCAATGGCAGCGGCTGTTTCCATCTCAGATGCACGATGAGACCACCAGGTTTCGCGGTCCTTCTTTAGGCTAGCACGTAGTTTCGCCCTGAGATTTTTGCGAGATTCATTGTATTCGCTTCCAGCCGGAATACGTCGGCGAGCATCCATAAGTTCCAGAGACTGTGTAGAGACCCAATGTCCGGTTTGGCAATTTGTTTTGCCACATGAAGACATGCCTGCTAATAGCAACGCTTGACGAGTGTGCGACCAGTGATCTTCAACGGTGTTTAGTGGGCGCTTACTCAGCCCAGCTGTCAGCGCATCTTGGTACACATTCAGAACATCTGGCTTCGCCAGCTGGCTAGTGTCAATCCGTTCACATCGACGTTGCGGACGTCCACCGAAGCGCATCAGGAGGTCGGCACAGACAAGTGCGTGGTCAGAGTCCACGCTCGTGCTCCAAATCGAGCGACAGTTTTGGACACAGCCTCTCCAGCGGTAACTGATCGCGATATGATCGATTTGCGTCCATGACTGGCCCGAGGCTGGTGGCCGCCAAGTCACACTTCTGCGGGTGCTGTGTCGAAAATTAGTGCTCGCGAGAAACAGGCGAGCATCTTCACACAGCTGGAGCAATCGCTCACCATTATCATTACGGGAGCCTACACCATGTTGGCCGCCCAGATGAAGCTCATCAGAGGACAATTTTCCGACTTGGGCGTTTAGATCGCCAGCCAGCACCACAGTATCCGTGCTTCTTCTGTAACGAAGGAGCTCGTGAAGTTGCTGGTAGAAATCATCTTTTACCGAATCAGTGCTACAGTTTGTAGGGGCGTAGGCCGCAATGACAAACAGGCACCGTTTGTCTCCGCGCGACTTCGAAGCACGGAACGAACCAGCTAATCTAACGGCGCACATCCTACTGTTTACTGGGATCCAATCAAGCAGGGCAGCTTCAGCCCGGGGACTCAAAACAATGCCGACGCCGGCTTGACCGGCATTTGAAGCTGCATCATCGCCAGATAGGCGCAATGAGAATGTGCCGCCAGTGTCGCATGTGGGGGATCTCAGGGTAAGTACGGAGCTCGAACCTTGCAGGCGGGTTTCTGATAAACAGCAAATATCGATCGATAGGGTCTCTAGTGTGCGGGCAAGTGCTGCCTGTTGGCCAATCTGCAGCAAAGTGCGCACGTTGAGGCATGCCAATCTTAGCGAGACACGAGGACTCCAAAGGGAAACGGATGAACTGACGTTGTCCGCTTGGTTGAACATGGACTTATCGACTGGATTGGAGCGAGGCCCTGCGATTGTGTGTGATTTGAAATTAGAAGACAAGCGACTATTGAAGTAAGCTGGGGGAGGGCCAAGAATTGGGGGATTGAAAATGGGGGGGATATAAGTAAAGTTGGAGCGGGACAATAAGGATGCAGAAGCGCAAGAAGGGGTATAAGAAGACGGGAAGGCCTGAGCAGTAGCATCCAAACCCCTATCCACCCTGCTCGATGCAGCAGATAGGGCGCCGTTTATTATCCTCTGCGACGGCCAGAGCATCAAGAAATTGTTGTAGGAAAGGTTCATTGTATTGCGTGGGCAGAATACTGTCAGGTTGCCCAGGCCTAGACAGGAGAACGATTAGGGTTCTCAACCAAAGCCTTTGGTTCAAAAACCTTACCGCAAGGCAGCGGGTTTTGGCACTGGACTACAGAGCCCGTTTTATGAAATGAGGAGCCACCCCCATTCCAACCCCCAACCTGGAGGACCAGGAGGCTGAGTTTGTCTGGCCTCTAACCGTAAGGGTCAAGGAGCAGTGACTTTATCTCGTGGTGAGTCACAGCCGTCACGTCACAGTACCTCCAACTACCATTGTAATCTTTATTGAGAAACCGCTGACCACGCGAAAACCCATCACGTCATCAGGTACTGCCGTCGCTTGTCTGCTGTCGGAGACCTGCCTGTCTCGCGGCCAAACGCGGTCACTTTCCTATCCGCAACCTGGTGGTGCGCTCGTTGGCAAACTGCCTTGCTGCTCAGGGACCAGCGGTGGCTGTTCCTAAAGCGCGAGGCAAATTAGGATAGCCATTGCGAGTGCTGACACCATTCAGTGGATAAGTGCCGTTGCAATTCAAGGGATCAAGTGATCGCGTAATGCTCTCAATTGATCGGCGTTGCAGATCTTTTACATGTGAGGCATTTTCGTTTAGGTTGCTGCTGATTCTGATGATAGTCCGATGTTTACAGTTTAGTTCAGCTGATCAACTATGATCCGAGCACCGAGGTGCCTTGGACCCATT